AAACGGCCCCATCGAGGCCAAAAGCATCCCCAGATGCATCCTCTCCTCGAGGAGGGCAAGATACCAGCCCTCTGCAGAATCAGGCCCTGCTTGCCCAAGCATGTTCTCCAGCAGGCAGCACAGCTGGTACCTTGCCCAAAGACCAGCTCCAGCTGAGGGCCCAATTGATCCACCACTCTTGAGGCTGTTCCAAAACCCCATCCCTTCCCTGCAGCACTTCTGTCTGCCCTCAGACCAAGATTTATGGGGGTTATCCATGGATGCAGATGCAAGAAAAGTCCAAAAGCTTTTGTTGCAACGCAAGCAGCACAACAACAACAACAAAATGCTCTTTGCATCCCCGATCCTCGCTGAAGGGATGTGAGCAGGACGCCCAAACACAGACAGCAAGCTCTGAAGCAGGACCTGAGGAGGCAGCGTGGATGTGTGCCAACCTGACAATGGGGTTTCATTTAACAAGCAGAGATTTAAGTGTGGAAATCAAATATGGAACAGTCATAGCCAGCATTGTCTGCATTCTTGGAGTGGCACTAAACTAGCAGAAAGAAAAGAACTGAGACACTGGCCCAGACATGCTCCAGCTGTCTGCAACTACCTCTTCCCTCCTCCACTGAATGTAACTATTCAGCTTGTTTTCATTTCATTATTGGATGTTATTTTTTGCAACCTGGGAAAAGAATAGAAAAAGGGGAAAAAAAAGTCCTTACAACGCTTTTGGGTTTATTTTTAAGAACTAGACCATTTCTTTCCTTTTCATCAGAGATAAAGCACACTTTAAAAAGCACATGAGGCCTATGGTATTATTAGTTAAGCATTTGTTTCTCAAATGAGGTCCTTTATCTCAGAGACAGCAGCATTTGCATTGCTGTGGTTATTCACCTAAGTTGTACTCATTCAGTACCAAGCAACATGCAATTAAATAGCCATATAAAACACCCACAGGGCGAGCAGCAGCTGCCGGCAGGTAACCTTAAGTTTCATGCACTCACTTGCCAAATGTTTCACCTCTAGCCATATAAATCCTCATTTACATGAGGGAGCAGGGCAGGCCCTTTCCTCCATCACCATGGGAAGGTAAACAGGAGGCACTCCTTCACCAGGCACAGCGCAAATCAAGCTTTTAATGAGTTAGTTAAAAGCCTGATGCTGCAGATGGCTATTAACAGGAGTGCTTCTCGACCCACCACAGGGTCAGCCCTGCCCCGGCTTCCCTTCCCTCCTCTGCCTTCCTCTCAAGAGCACAGCTTATCCATTTTTAATGTTTAAAAGAATTCACATCCAAGACCTGATAATAATTTCGTTTCCCTCTCTTTATGCCAATCTCGCTTGAGAGGGAAATGCCAGCATGCACCGCCCGTCCCCCCCAGCTGGGGACACCCCACTCTACGAAAAAGTCAAACACTTGCCAAATGAAGGGCCAAGATGACATCATTTCCCACTGAGCATAGCGGGAATTCTTAGTTTGTGCTAGACTTCTCTGGAAAAAGTCTGCCCTCCATTTTGATGCCAATACACTTCAGCAAGGCAGCAAATGTTCAATGGTGCTTCAAGCGAAAAGCAGGATTCAGAGCATTTCTTACCATTTATCTTCCTCTTTGGGACAAAGGCATATACGCTAACCCAGGAGCTCTCTTCATAGCAGCTTTTGCACACTCCTGCAGTATTCCCAGCAGGAGAAGGTCAGATAATGCTTTAAAGTGAGTTGTTGTCTCTCCAAACATTGTTTTGTAACATCCGAAGTGGGTCTGTAATTCTAGATTGGGGTATTTTAAGTTCCAACTAAGATTTTTGAAGTGCACATGCAGTAACTGCTCACTACATGCAGACCGTTGCTTCCTACTGAATGGCATTGCTCTAAGGATTTACATGGAGAAGTTTTAGCATTTTTCTTACCTTATTCTAGCCAGTTCAACAAGGGGAGAGCCCTTCCCACCTCCTGCTCCAGCTCAGTCCTCCCCTGGGCTGACCAGACCGGAGCATGGCACTCACCAGTGTTACTGGAGACATCGAGCATGGCAAGCCGCTCCCCAAGGCGCCGAGCCAACCCCACCAGTCCTAAAGCAGATTGGAAGATGGGAAAAAATTTTGGAATGTTTCTTGAAATGATGTTCTTTCCATTTCATGGCATTACAATTAGATAATTTCCTTTTTCATCCTGACTTTTTAACCTTTTAGTAGTTTTTAATTTTTTGTTTAATGAAAATTGGTTCTCATACTGGAACCTAATTTCCGTTCATTAAGGATAAAAGATGATCATTTCGAGCAATGAGTTTCTCCAAATCCAGAAACCCTAAACATATGCTCAACACCAAGCCTATAAGCAACTCCATTTACCTCAATATGTGTGCTTATCTCTAAGCATGTGCTTAAGTGGTTTGTTGGCAAAAGCTAGACTGCTTATCCCTTTCCAGATGACCCTGTTTAATATTTACCAGTATTAATCCGCTCAATAACTATAAACAGCAGGAAAACCTCATTGCATTAGCTCTACACACAGCTTTTCTAAATACAATTTCTACGTTACCCAGGAGGATCAAACTGTTCCACGCTCCAGGGCTGATCCCAAAGACACAAGAATCAGTGGAAGGGTGTTGACCGATTATACTGGTTCAGGGATGGGATCCCCTGCTAGCAGCAACACCTTTCTGGTGTTGGCACTGTGACTAATAGGGATAACAAAAGCTCTCTGCTGACATTAAGCAAATGTGTTTTATGTATTGACATCCTGTTAACCTCCAGCACACTTAAAGGAAGCTGTTAATTTCATGGTTGCGTCAGAAAGATATGGCAGAACATGTATTGCTGAGCAACGAAGGAAGTTTCCAAGCCTAACGTCAGCATTAACACCTGCACAGGACAGCACTGACTGCAGGGACCTCTCTACAAAGCATAAATTTAAAGAATCTGCCCTTGACAAGGAGAAAATTTTCAAATCAAAGTTGCCAATACAGACTCTAGGTACAGGTTTTGGTATCTGCCTCCAGCAACAAAGCCTCTCTACATCCTACATGTCCTTCCAGTTGAATTTGATGCAAAACAGATGGATTAATCCTCTCCCACCACTTGGAGATAAGAGGCTGCACACAGGGTCCTATCTCACCCGGTTGTAAAGGGTTCTCAGCAGCCCTCAAGTACCAGAGAAGTTTCTTTAGCTATTAAGCCTGAGCAGTGCCTTGATTTCTCTGCAGTTTGACTATAGGTGGTACCCATTTTACTGTATCAAACTTACATTCTGCATAGATGCAAAGGTAGAAGTGGAAGTTTACCTAAAATGAGGTGCTTGACCTAAAAATACAGAAAGATATAAAGGCCCCAACTCAACAAAATACTTCAGCACGCACCTAGCAGCGGACACGCGGACGATGCTGTTAAACTCAGCCTGACGGAAGTGCTGTAACCAGCATTATGATAATCAGCATCCGTTACAAGTTGGATGGGATCTGAAATACGACTGTGCTGTAAAACCGTGTTTTTATCTGTGAATGCCAGTACATCACTTGAAGCAATGAAGTTACAGTCTTCCCATTGCCTGCTCAGACACCGGCTCATATTTATACCCCGGAAAACACCTTAGTTTACAAAAGCAACATAGAAAGATCATTTGTGTTGTCGCATTCTTTTTAAGAAGGCAACCTTTATCTCTGTGTGTCAGCCTGGCACTCACACTCAGGTCCCAGCTCACTGACCCACATTGGATGCTTCTGCAGATTTGAGCACTGACCTCCCAGGCACAAGATCATGGACTTGTGTCCTTGACTCCTGCAACTCACAGCGTGGCTTCAAACTTCATTCCTGACTGCGGGTGACCGTTGACCGACTCATTTTGTGTTAAACATCCCCCCACCTCCATTCATCCAGTCTTCCCATTGGTCTCCCACACA